CAACCCAAACTATTCAATGATTCTATGATGCTAAAAGTGTATCACGCAGCCTGTTAACCTGTCACGTAACTTAAAGACATATGCTCAGATAGCATGCCTGCTGGCTTTTGCTGCAGCATCCCCATAGTAATAAGTCTGTCAACTGCCCACAAGTAATCACAACTGCTAGTAACCCCGTACATCATCGAATAACTCTAAAGTTCACAATAGAACTTCTATTTCTACAGAGGATAAATACTAAAGAAAAGAGCTAGTTACAAAACATGCTTTGAAAAATAGACGTTTTATACATGAAAGATTTTTCCCTCAAAATTTAAGAGGCAACTTTACTGTTTAAACATGAAGGGTTCCTAGATTTTAACACTTCCCACGCATGCATGATGATCCTACTTTTCAGCTGACATGTTTGCTTTCATTGTGTTTGATCACTGCAATAATACTAAAAACTATATACGTTTGAAGGGATATTTCTTTAAAAATAACGTACATGGCAATATACAAATTGTGCAGTAAAACTGAGCGAATTTTCAGTCTTCAAAAGCTTAAGCCCATTGTCAATTTCTTTTTTTTTTTTTTTTAAGGAAAACAAAGCTAGTTTTCCCCAAACTATCTGCCACCATACAAAGAAAAAATTAAGTTTTCAGAACGCCAGGATCACTTACTTAATTACCCATTCAGAATCCACGAAGAATCCCAACTTCTCCACAGGGCATTTCTGATCCAACTTTCCCTTCTTCCTATCCTGATTCTCATCTCTCTCTTTCATATTTCGTTCTCCAATCCGAAAGGACACTTACACTGTCCACGGTCAAAAACCAGCAGCAAGAGGCAGAGCCTTCCACAAATGCCTTGTCTAGTCCTTTCCCATTCTTTATGCCTACATACACAAGGCCTGAGACACAACCTACTCTAAATAACCATTACGATTTGAAGCTGCAGAAATCCCAACACTAAACGTGTGAACATAGTGCAGATTTCCGAATTGTAGTGTGGGGTAAGATACGATTAAGATGAAATTTAATATGCGCATTGAAAAAGACAATACTGTTGACTGAATATTGCTTACTGAAGTCTTGTAACCCTCCAACTTCTCAAGATATTGATGCAAACTCTGTACTTTGGTCAGCAAATTCAAGTGAGTGTATTTCAATTTCAAGCCTCTACACTTACTTAGTAATCACTTGTCTTGGTGCTTGCTGTTGTATTATCAATGAGGCATTCAAATAATTATGAAGTATCTTATGGAAAGTCTGACAACTGAAATATCTGCATTATTGATCTGGCTCAGTTCCTGTTTTGCTCCTGCGTCCTGGTCCCCAAAACATCTACAGTTCACATACACCAGCTTATCCTCAGGTTCCTTTCTGGAGCAAGCCAACTAATTCCCTTCACAATGAAAATCAAGTGCTGTTAACATGGTAATTTTCTCTGGACAGACACCACAAACATGAACATGTGTGCCACCTGCAACTATTCACCAATACTGTCCCAGGAGGTCTTAAACTTTGACACCTCCACGCACACTTATGTGTATATATGCACCCCAGTACATAAGTCAGTAACTTTTCTGTAGCATGAAGTCAACTCTTTAAACTAAGGAAAAGAACCCGACAACCCTCCCAAAATGCACATGTACACACATGCACAAAATTATTATGCTTCAGAACATGGGGGACCCTAAAAATCAAAGCCAAGCTTTAAAAAAGCATGGATGAAGCCCAGCAGCTCCAGAGAAGAAAACCCAACAGTAGGATGGGAAGGTCTGACATTGCCGAATCAATTTTGGAGGATGAGGGATTTTTTCCACAGTGAAATTCACCTTGACAGTGCAAAGTCTATCTAAACACCAAATCATGTTCTTCCTATTGCAAGGAAGATCTCTTTCAGTTCATATCCAGCTTTTGAAAGTCTTCAAGTCCAAACATTCACATAAACTTGTTCACAGTCTATAGTATGAACTCATGTAAAACCTAAGTATAAATAAACTGATTCCTGTGCGTGAAACAGCAAATGAGCTGCTCTGTTGAAGAAATCTAACAGACTGAATATGCACAGCATAATCTTACCATTTTTGTAGCAAGCTTTTGTTTGTCATGGAAGTCCAGAAACATGTCCACATCACAACCCAATTTGCCAAAGGTGTTGACTGAAGAGCCAAATGGCTTTACCGTGCTATCTGGAAAATACGCATGTGTGAAATCCCGAACCAGAGAACAGGCCAGAAATCGGAGCTTGATATTTTCTTCTGTAAGCTGATACTCATTCAGTAGAATGTACATCTGACTGCTTATCTAGTTAAGAAAATAAACATTGTAAAAATACAATGACCCATCTTCTATCTATTAACATATATTTTCATCTATGTAATATCATTGCCATTAAAAGACTTTTTTTAAAAAAATCTCAAACAGGTTTATTTCATACAGAAGAAATTATTTTGACAATTAAAATGACTAATTTCATCTATTTGTTTCAATGTAGGAGAACCATTCACACAAAATTGTAATGGGGATTACTTTTTTTATTTTAATAGAAATAAATTGCTTTCGAAGTTGCACATGACCACTTGCAAATCTGAAATAGACATAGTTCATTTTTAACTAAGAGACATCTAGAAACCTATACTTACACTGTCTGCATGACAAAGCTTTTGAATAAGCTCTTTCACTGGAATGTGAGACTGAGGAGAGAGGTGAACTGGTGTCTCTTCAGCAGCTTGACTCACTGGGTTTTTCAGCGTGAAAGTAAAAAGTCTAGATTTAAATGGGACAACATGATGCTCTGCAGCACTTGGGATTCCAATAGCATCCTGCAATGAGGCTATACTGTCCTTTTCAGAAAATTCTATTAAAGCATGGATACCCTAAAAGATTAAGAATGGAAATAGACAGGGTTAGATGAATGCATACGAGCCTTGAACTGATTGTACTGATATTATTCAGATGTTCCTGGGAGTACTGAGACAGTTTAATACAACAGTCCTGAAGCTGAATGCTAGGTTCTGTACCTCGACACTTTTTCACAAGAGGTCGAAAATTTTTAAGATATGCTATTCTTGGCAGCAAGCACTAAACATAAAAGTTCTAAAAGTTCCAAAGATTTAGTGCAAAACAGGTTGCTACCTATCCCTTAGAGGAGGTGTTGCTTAGCTGACTTATGAATAAAAATCTGTTGCTCAGCAACTTGTAAACATTAACAAAGATAAAAACTAATTTAATGTATTAATTATATATAATTTGCTTAACTTACATATGAGGCCTTGACCAAATGCTAGTATTTCTTTTTGTCTAAGTCTCGACTTTAGTTTACAATGTTAATTACTTACACGATTTTCAAAAAAAAAGTGACTGTTAATGTTTCCATGACTGGATAAATACTGCAATAATTTTTTTTCGTCAAGTTTTGGTGGGCACTTAATTAAAACAGTCCGTTCTGCTTGCTCCAATCGTTCTGTTTGAACCTCAGTGAATGTCTTCTTTCTGATATTGACTTCAGCATCTGTGAGAAGAAACAAGCATCAGTGTTTTTCTATATAAACAAGAAGATTTAAAACTTATTTTAGTACCCTTAATCTCCTCTGGGATTGAACAACTGAACAAAGGTTTGCCCTGGCTCTCTAAAAGGATCAGAGCAAAACAGAAAACAATCAAGAATGAATGAAAGACACAAACATAAGTGTATTTCTCTCACAAATGCATACATTTGGAAGAATAAGGAATAGGAAATGTAGGAAGAAAATAATACTAACTTCCCTTGGCGCCATGGAAGCTTGATGATACAAGGAATCTTAGCTCTTCTTTGATTTGCTGTTCACCATCAAAAAACTCAGCACACACAGTCGGACTCTACATCCAAGTCTGGAAATACCAGCTAAGGTATGAGGCAGAGCTAGACCTTTGGCAAAGCTGCACAGAAAAGATAATCTCTCTCGGCTACCACAAAACCAGCACTTTCACCTTCGGAACAATTCAACACTTGCTTATTTTTACAACTCATCACCTTCTTTTACAGTAAACTCCTACTCGAAATTTTCATTTAATACTATGCTTTCATCTACTCTACTTCAGTAAACCCACAGATCAGTCATATCTCACCACACTACTGGCAACCTATGTTGTTGCTGACAGCCTACAGAACTAACATGGAAATGAGACATGCTGGAACATCCAGAAACACAGAAACTTTTTTCTTGATTGCATACAGGCAAAGAGGCTACGTCTCAAATTTGAAATCATAATCACTTCCCTGCCTAACTCTCAAACTAATCCACTGACCGCATCACGTTACCAGAGCCTGTGAAGCTGCTACCTGATAATACTGTCATTCGTAATTCAGACCAGGAAGCTCAAGAACACAGAATTATTTCCCTGCAGCTACTATCTGCTACAGAAAGATTCAACAGAGAGCTCTTGATTCTACGTTTGTGATTTTGAGGAACCCACAGGACATTGTGGCCTCAAGAAAATCTGAACTATCGTTTCATGACACTTGACAGTATTTATTACTATTTTTTAAAAATCTTTTGTTTATTGAGCTTGTAAATAATAAATACCCAAAGTAGTTGTTTCAATAGCTTAGTTTTATATAGCAATTTTCATCAGATGACCAAAGCAGCACTTTATGAAGATGCTATCCTATTTTCCACGGGGGCAGAGAAGTGTGAAGTGACTGAGATGCAGAAAGTCAGACAGAAGTGTGAAGTGACTGAGATGCAGACAAGTCCCATGGACAAGTGACACAATCAGGAGATGAACCCAGACCTTCTCACTCCCACAGCTCTCTGCCTTAGGCCAAAGTGGCTATGTGATTCTTGCCTGATTTACTATCTGTACATGCTTAGTTACTATAGCAGAAGATGTGCTCTGACATCTCTTCCTGGCTCTCCTGTGATTTGCACAGTCCAAGCATAGCACAGATGCAGATGATCACATCCAAGTGGTGGTTGTAAGCATTTTAAATGCATGAGAGGCAGTCCACTCTGCTTTCTTCCCCTGTTCCATACAACGTTTCCAGTTAGTGCCAGAGTTTCACAATCATTTTAAACAGGTATACACCAGCACTGCTGCTGGAAGAAACAGCCCCATCTTCCACATGGTGCTCGTACATATTCTAATGCTGCTCTCTGCACGCTGATGCCAATGCAAGCATTCACGTAGTCATGCAGCAAACCAGATGAGACTAGGGATCAAATTTATACACCAAAACAAGAATGATTAACTGGAATCTGGAACTGTTCCTTAATCCAATTTGCTGCGTATTTGTTAGTACAAGGATATGAACAGCAAAAGACGGTTGGTTTTGTGAAACTGTGATAATACAGCCTGATCTTCTCCTCTCTTTAAAAAAACGTTGCTATCCTGAATGTTTTTCAAGCTCTGAAACACAGGCCTCAGGCTCACAAATGCATTAACGGCGAGTTACACGGCACACCCAAGTCACAGCACATCAACAACGGACAGCCCTTGCTAGTTCTTGGCTTGTACTAAAGACAGAGCCATCAATCAAACGTTTCCAATGTCTTTTTAAGGGGGTCTCTCAGGATAACCACTGTCACTTCATTTACCTCTAGCCGGTATCTACATTTAATAAACCAAGCCCTGGACAATGATAGCAGATTCTGGGCTGCTGGGCTGCACCCCGGCGCTACGGCCGGGAAAGCACAGGCCGACCTCGCTGCCGTCGGGATGCCCCCGGCAGAGGCTGCCCGCGCCCTGAGGAGCACATCACGCCCGGGACGCTGCTAGTGCCCAGGAGCCTCCCCCGGAGCC